CTAAACCAAACTTAGTCCCCGTCCGCCGGTCGGAGTAGTTGTCGACCTTTGTCCCCTCCGCCCTCCCCCCCCCCCCCCCCCCCCGCCCCTTTCCGGGGCACCTCTTCATTCCACCGCCCGCAGGTGCCTCTTCATTCCACACACCCCCCCCCCCCGTAGCTGCTTATTCATTCTACCCCTTGTGGGCACCTCCATCATCGACCCACATGGACACCAGCCACCTAGGTAACCATAAAGCTACTCTTCGGGGCAATGCCCCTCAAGGCGAAAGGACACCCTGCCTCAACCCTCAGCCGCTACAATCAACCCGGTGCAAGGCCATACCCTCAAGATGCCTCCGTCAAGGTTCACCATATTGGTGGTCTCTTTCTCCCCCAAAATGAAAAAAAAAAAGAGGAGTCAGGCACGATGGCAATCATTGCAAGTAAAAGAACAAGAGCTTCAGGCAGACATAGCCCCAAAAACGAAAGGGGGGGGGGGGGGGTAGGGGGGACTACGGATAAAATCGCCTAATAAATAAAAAAAAAACAAGGGTAAAAATGACAGGTGGGCATGGCCATGAACCAATGAGTAAAAGAGTTTTAAAAAAAAAAAAAAAAATCTAGGCATAGCGAAAACCCGCAAAGAGCGCCATGAGTAAATGTGGAAACGAACGGGTGGACGTGACCTTAAAGTCACAGGTAAAAGCACCCCAACAAAGGATACGGTGAAAACCAACCTGCAGGCACCATATCCCCTCGGTCCCAGTGAAAACTCACAATCGGTGCCGGGACCTAACCTCCTGCTGCCAGCCTTCGGGCCAAATCTCCTCACTCCAGCCTCAGTGCCTTCAAAAAAAAAAACTCCCGCCCCAGTGCCTTCAAAAAAATAAAAACTCCAAACCCTGAGCCTTCTAAAAAAAAAAAACTTCAGCCCCTGAGGCTTCTAAAAAAAAAAACTCCGACCCTTGAGCCTTTCAAAAAAAAAAACTCTGGCCCCAGTGCCTTTGACAAAAAAAAAAAACACTCTGGCCCCTGATCCTTAAAAAAAAAAAAATCCAAGCCCTGAGCAGTCCAAAAAAAAACTCATGCCCCAATGCCTCCAAATTTTTTTTTTTTAGCCCCAGTGCCACCCTTATATCCCGGGCCTTAGTGCCGCCTTCTTATTTTCGACACTGGAGCCTTAGTGCTCTTGTGTCACCCTTTTATCCCGGGCCCTAGTGCCCCCACAACAAAAAAAAAATCCTCTCCTCTTCTCTTCCATCAAACGCAAGCATCTAGGTTGAAGTCCCCTAAAATGGGACCACCTAGAAGGCCATCCTCCTTTCATGTCTAGGTAGTTTGGGAGACCCCCAACTGGACCTGTAGGACGTAAGCCTAGAGGTACGTTGTTTGCTCTTGGTGTTTATCTTTGGATAGGGATAAAGCTCACGAGAAGGGCCCCCGCCAACTGGAACGTCAGGACCTCCCCGGCCAAAATGGGATAAAGCTCACAAGAAGGGCCCCCACAAGCTGTAAAACCAAGAGTCCGCGTTGAGAAGTCGTAAGCACGCCGATGGCAGAATATCAGCGTGATCTCCCAAAAATGAAAATGAATTCTTGTGGGACCCGGAGAAAGCCCCTCAACAAGGCACCAAACCATTGGAAACCACTTGGTCACCCCCCGGTCGAGGGAAAAGCTAAGCAAAGTCTACCCCTCGAGGATTACGCTGTGCCGACGATCAACAAAAAAAATAAAATAATCGAGAGCCAATAAACATGTCTTGGCGAGGATTCGTCAAAGGAGCTACGAAGTTAAATTTTTCCAAATGTTGCACTTCTCGCTTCTCTCGAAGTGCAACATCTGGCAGGGCAAGTTGTTGTATGTCATTTTTGACATACCTTCATGAGCCCATGCGAATAAGGAGAGAGCCAACAACAGCCTGGTCTTGTGGGTTCACAAAAAAAGGACTGTGCCGAAAAATAAAGCCTCCATCCTAGTAACCTGGGTGCGGTGCCCTTGCACCAAAGAAGGGCCCTTCACTGTAGCCTTATGATAGTGGCTGCAATAGGGCACAAGACCATCGCCATTGTGTTCAGAACTTCGAAAAACCCTGATGACCAAATTTGAGCTCAATCGGACCCCTCTAGAAGGTCATATACTCATACGGCATCTCAACTCATGGGTTTTACCATAGTGTGATGCAGCTTCACCAAACCAGTCCCAAAAATGAGGACTGCGACAACGTTTTTTGACAGCAACTTCTCCAACCCATGACGCCTTTCTCTGAAATCAGATAGAGCTCAAATGTTTACATGTTTTAGATCTCGCCAGCCTCGTCATTTTGACCTAAGGCACTCACTTTGGCGTGAAAGAGAACCCCCATTGCCCTGAAGAGGAAAGAAGCCGGAGAAAGCACGACCAAAAAAGGATTTAGGAGGCTTCAGATTCAGTGAAGCATAGCTTAAAATCCAGGCTATAGATTAACGTGAGGATGAGTTCAAAAGAACCACCTCACACAGAGCTACATTCTGGTATGACTTTTCCATTCAATCCCTTGTTTAATGGATGCAAGTCCTTAGGTCACCAAATAAGCAAATCCAGTCGGTTGCTGGAATCCCTTTCTCCGGTAACCTTCCAAAGTAGCCGAAGGCACAAATCTGCACCGGTTGGTTCTCTCTCTCTCTCTTTTGTCACAATTAACAAAGCCTAGCATTAGTTGGTTTTCTCTTTCTTCTTTCACAGCCAACGAAGCCTAACACCGATTGGTTCTATCTTTCTTCTGTCACAACCGGTGAAGCTTAGCGTCGGTTGGTTTTCTCTCCCATTTTCTGTCAGTCGGTGAAGCTTAGTGCCGACCGTGTCTTCTCTCTCTTTTGCTCTGTATAACACAGTTGGTTGGATTTCTCTCTCCTCTTCTATCAGTCGGTGAAGTCTGACACTGACTAGTTTTCTCTCTCCTCTTTTATTAATCGATGAAGCCTAGCAATGGCTGGTTTTCTCTCTCCTCTTCTGTCAGTCGACAAAGCCTAATGCCAACTGGTTTTCTCTTTCTTCTTTTATCAATCAGTGAAGCTTAGCACCGACTAATTTATCTCTCCGCTTTTGTCATAGTCAGTGAAGCTTAGTGTCGACCGTGTCTTCTCTCTCTTTTGCTCTGTCTAACACAGTCGGCGAAGCCTAACGCTGACTGCATTTTCTCTTTCTTCCTTTTAACACAGTTGGCAATGCTTAGCCTCAACTGCGCCTTCCTTCTATCCGCTCGTCTTTCATACTCTTCTCTTCCTCTCTTCTCCTTCTTTCTTTCCCTTCATCTCTTCTTATTCTTACCTCATAGCCTTAATTCTGCCACTCCGTCGTTCGACTAAGAGGGATTAAGGTTAGCCTCTCATGGTAGTCCTGATGTTTAGCCATAATGTTGTTGTGTCAGGATTACTTGGCCCACTTTATTGCCACAACAAACTGACCATCGTGCCTAGCTAGTCGGTATTAGTAATGACCTCTAGTAGTAATCCTGTGAGCCGGTCTCTGTTACCGAGCCCTTTTTGCTACCACGTCAGGCCAATTCCTCACTAGCTTAGTCATCGTTCTATCCTCTCGCTTAGTCGAATTCTTCTCTCCCCCGTCTTTATTCTCTTCTTCTCTTTGAATGTGCATGCTTGTGTACGTTCATCAAAGAGGAAAAGCGTAAGGTCTGACCCACTTGTCTTATAACCTTTACCATTTATGTGTGTGATTGCAGAAAATAAGAAGAATACAAGCCAAGGGAGGCAATTTTGAACCAGTTTTATAACTGAGGGGCTTTTTTCGTGATCTAAGAGGGAGCCCACGCGAGCCACCCGAGTAAGTCCTGAACCCACCTTTAAATTCCTCTCTCACCGGTTTGCAACAACTGTCCCCTTTCTCGAACAAGGTTCCTGAGAGAGTGATCTAAAAACCATCTCGGGTCTTCCCTCGAAACTTGAGACGCACGCCGTCCAATCCCTAAAGGATCCGAGGGCGAGATCGAGGCACCTAAGCAGCTTTGTGACTCCACTGGGGACTTATTACCCCTTAGTCGAATCGTTCTTGTTTGGATAGTTTCTTCTTTTATTATCTGCTTTTATCTTTTAACACTTCACTTATGGCTTGTGGGTTCTGTAACCCATACATCTAGATCGGGGATTTTCTTATCCCTGCATTTGAGAGCATACCTAGGGAACAAGTTCCTTTGACTTCGTTCCCAACCATCCTCTTGAGCAAAGACCCCTTATCTAACTCACTGGTCTTAACTTGGACAGGTGTGAGGTGGGACCTAAAAATCCCTCACTCCCTATCTCCTCGCTCTGACGGAAACTCCACCAAGGCGCCCTGCATCGGCAGCACTTCTGTTGCCTCATACAGCATGCACCCAGCCACTGGCAAGTCACTTGCCGATCGTGTTTCTGAGGTACGCCGGAAGGCTGCCTAGTCCCTTTCTGCAAAAGCCAAACAAGCTGTCGTTGCTTCTGTGGGTCGCCATAGGGCTACCCCCCACATTTCTGCACCATTGATCTCTATCCCTAGAGGATCAACACATCGAGGCGGAAAGCCCACGGTTTCCAACCCTCACACACACCACAAAGCTCGTGGGTTACCCACTCGAGTCACACCTCGGGGCAAACCCTTCTGTTACCTCGAGTCTATGTTCAAGATCAAACCTTCCAAGGCCAGGTCCTGTGCATGCTACTCATATGAATCTCACTGCTCGGGGCAACTCCACTGCCACGCCTACGCAAGTACATAGGAGACGACCATCTCCCTTCCTACTTTGCACATGCAAGTGCACTCTGTAAGGGATAGGCCTACACCTGTTCCCTTGCAGATACTTGCTATACCACTTGCTCGAGCCCGGGTTGACCCCCAGGCCACCCCTGACCCTTCTTCAAGGGG